GAGTCCAAAAATTATTGCAAAGGGTTACAATTTCTTATAGGTCTGTGCTGAGACTACAAAAGAAGTATTATCTGCACATAAGGTCAACTCCAAAGCATCAAACTGGTTAGATACGCCATTAATAAATAAAAAAAATCAAGGGCCCTATTACAGAACACCGTGAAACTCCCAGATTCTAGACTTCGAAAATCTCACGGCAAACTTCGACAAATCACCGGAGATAGCAATATTTCCATAAATTCAGGATTCAAATCTAAAAACCCCCTAATCAGCAACCCATTCCAAATGATCAACAAAACCTTCACTTAGTCATTGCCGGCGTCGACAAAAAACTATCCCAAAAAATCATCGAGGACAATCTATTTGAAAACAAATTCGTATTCACTAAAATAGTTCACCGCTCTACAAATCAACCCACCTTTTTTACTAGAGTTTTTAATAACTGAAACTAAATTCGCTAAAGTACACTTGAAACGGCATTAAGATCGAGGAAGAACGATTGAAATGCGAGATTCCAAAATCAAACAATTCCGTTCCGGTTCTACTAAAATACTGTTCGAAATGTTTCATTTATCTGTCCATTCTGCGGACAACAACATAGGTCTACTGCATGCCCCACGATAGATGATCCCAAATGTCCCAACTGTAATGGAGGCCACCCGGCATTATCACAAAAATGTCCACACCGAAGAATCCAAGCAAAAAACACAAAACAAACACAACCCGTACACACTCCCACACAAATCCCCTCATACGACCTATCCACTTCTCGTCCATGATCCTTTTTAATATCTTCCTTGAAAAGAGGAGTAACAAAATCCGTTATCTAAATCAAATGTCCATAAATCAAACCTTTACTCAACTCCGCACATAAACACAAACATAACACACACATTCATTATTTATATATATATATATATATATATATATATATATATATATATATATATAATATATATATATATATATATATATATATGTATATATATATATACAGGGTGTCCCAGACTAATTTACCCACGCTATATTTTTTAAAACGAATAGAGATTTTCAAATGGGACAAAAAGTGATCTATTCTACTTGTAAAACACTTTAATATAGCGTAAAAAAAATGATCCCCTAAATATTCATCCCTTAGTTACAACCCCTAACTTTAATTTTTTTAATAGCACCCTGTATATTTTTTTATAGTTTTGGATGTGGTCTTCTATCGTCTATTCAACAGATTTATTAAAAATAAAATCGGTTTATAAATAATCAAGAAATCAATTAATTTTTTATTTTTGTTAATTAAGTGTCCCAGACTAATTTATCCAGGCTATATTTATTAACAAAATAGAGATATTTTAAAGGGTCAAAAACTGGTCTATTCCATTTGTTATACACTTTAATATAGCGAAGAAAAAATCATCCCCTAAATATTCATCCCTTAGTTACAACCCCTAACTTTAATTTTTTTAATAGCACCCTGTATATTTTTTTATAGTTTTGGATGTGGTCTTCTATCGTCTATTCAACAGATTTATTAAAAATAAAATCGGTTTGTAAATAATCAAGAAATCAATTATTTTTTATTTTTGTTAATTAAGTGTCCCAGACTAATTTATCCAGGCTATATTTATTAACAAAATAGAGATATTTTAAAGGGTCAAAAACTGGTCTATTCCATTTGTAATACACTTTAATATAGCGAAGAAAAAATCATCCCCTAAATATTCATCCCTTAGTTACAACCCCTAACTTAATTTTTTTAATAGCACCCTGTACATTTTTTTCTAGTTTTGGATGTGGTCTTCTATCGTCTATTTAACCGATTTTTTTTTAAATAAAATGGGTTTGTAAGGTATCAAGAAAATATCAGTTTATTTTTTATTTTTGTTAAATTAATCAACGGAACATAACATCAACCACACTGGAAGATAACGTATGCTCCTACAAAGACCAAATTTTGAAAAATTAAAAATAATATTTAAATAAAAAGGGTGTGTAAGAAGTTATACTACTAATATTTCTTTTCTATTCTATTTTTTAAGGCTATCTTGATTAATTTAACAAAAATAAAAAATAAACTGATATTTTCTTGATACCTTTTTACAACCCATTTTATTTTTAAAAAATCGATTAAATAGACGATAGAAGACCACATATAAAACTATAAAAAATGTACAGGGTGCCATTAAAAAATTTAAGTTAGGGGTTGTAACTAAGGGATGAATATTTAGGGGATGATTTTTTCTTCGCTATGTTAAAGTGTATTACAAATGGAATATACCAGTTTTTGTTCCTTTAAAAAATCTCTATTTTGTTAAGAAATATAGCCTGGATAATTTAGTCTGGGACACTTAATTAACAAAAATAATAAATTAATTGATGTTGTTGTGGTTGAATATTGACTGCGAAACCTATGGTTTCATTCGCCTAATCATGTTTGACTTTGATTCTTAACAATTATTAAAATAAAAGCTATTAATATTTAAAATTTACATTATTAATATTTTTAAAACAATATCACTACGTTAAAAATTCTACATTATACAATTGGTAAACTTACAAACATCATATTTTTTATTTATTTATTTATTTTTTTTTTAATTTTGTATACAATTTTCTAGTAGAAGGTATCCAGTTTCGTATCCATGCATCCAGTGCCCAGTGGTTGTTTATCCAGTATTATCCAATTCCGCAAGCAGTGTTTTTTTTTTTTAATTTTTTTTTGTTTAATTTTTTTTTTTTTTTTTTTATTTTTTTTTTTTTTTTTATTTATTTATTTATTTTTTTTTTTTTTTAATATTTTCAATATTTTTTCTGTATTTCGTTTTATTAATATTGTCTAATATATATATATATATATTTTTTTATTGTTGAAATGCTTTTTTTTTTTTTTTTTTTTTTCTTTTTTTTTCTTTTTTTCATTTATATACAAGTTTTGGTATACATTTTTCTTTATAAATTATTGTTTCATATTCTTATTTTTAAACTGCTTATGTATTGATACAGCAACTTATAAACTTCTAAATTGTTAGAAACTATTAACCCATAAAGGTTGATGGGTTTTACTAAAATTTTTATTTTCATTATGGTTTCCATAAAAACATTGGTCTTTATTCTATTTTTACTACAATTTAATATCATATGTTCTAGTGTGCCATATTCTCCACATTCGCAGTTTGGGGAATTTACAATTTTTAATTTAAATAAGTGAGATGGTGCTAGGGAATGATTGAATCGAATTCTACAGATAATTCTGATTGCATCTTTTTTTGTTATAAAATTACAGAACCATGGTTTGGTAGGAATTTTCGGCTGAATGCCTTTATAAAAAAGTCCCTTGGTGGAATGATCATATTTATTCATCCATTCCTGCCTAATTATATTTTTTGAAATAATATAAAGGTCTTCAGGAACTAATGAATAATTTACAACAGTATCGGAATCTAATGCTTCCTTGGCCAGTATGTCTACTTTTTCATTGTGGATGATCCCACAATGAGCTTTAACCCAAACAAACTTAACTATTTTTCCTTCCTCATACAAGTAAATTAATTGATTTCTTGATTATTTACAAACCGATTTTATTTTTAATAAATCTGTTGAATAGACGATAGAAGACCACATCCAAAACTATAAAAAAATATACAGGTCGCTATTAACAAAATTAAAGTTAGGGGTTGTAACTAAGGGATAAATATTTAGGGGATGATTTTTTTCTACGCCATATTAAAGTGTATTAAAAATAGAATAGATCACTTTTTGTCCCATTCGAAAATCTCTATTCGTTTAAGAGATATAGCGTGGGTAAATTAGTCTGGGACACCCATTGTATATAATATATATTATATATATATTATATATATATATATATATATATATATAATATATATATATATATATATATATATAGACTTATCATTTACCCATATACACACTTAACCTCCATCAGGCTCACAATCATAAACTTATAAACACCAAAAAGAACAACCCAACAACACACAACCAATAACTACACAAATTCGCACATCCCAACACTAAACAGTGAGCACTCCGTACGCTCCTTAAGAGTGGCATTCAAAATCACAAGAACAGGGGGAGATTGGTTTTCTGTGGTTTCCCAATCTCATTGCACAAAGATACCTGATCCTAGGTGAGGACACAGCTCCAGCTATCTTCCACGCGTTTAAACCAAATAAAACAAAAAGGCCAACAATCTGAAAAGGACAGTTTTTCCCAATGGAACTTGTACATAGTAGCGAGCTTAGTCCAACCGGTGTCCAAAAGGTAGGAAATCCTTTTGACACTTCTGCTTTACAGCCTCCACTTAGTCCCGGAGAGCGGCAATATGTAGATTCGCGTTTTCCAATCAATAAAAACTCACCCTTGAACAGGCAACAGAGCCTAAACAAGGTAAAAACGTTGATTGACTTGACTCCCAGATTAAGAACACGGTCCTCAGAAATAGCTTCACTAATTTTAATACAAATTATCCTATCTGATAAATAACTAATTAATCTAGAAATATGTCTCGGATTACCAATAATATACAGTTTTTACTAACAAACCGGCAAGACAATCAAAGGTAAGCATTGGATCAAAAAGAGACCTTCCAACTCTTCATACAGCTATACAGACGATCTTTCCTTAGCAATAGCTACAGCGCGCTTTGTTTCACTATTTACTACCTTGTTTATCTTTACCTTTGTTCCTATTTTCCTCTCTTTTAGACCTTTCATACGTCCTTATAGCATCTTTCTCCTCCCTAACTTCTTCATTGTATTTCGTCGTTCCACCATCAAGTTTATTTGTCCCTAGGAGGTGATTTACCAGATGTTTTTGCTAGCACTTTGTCTTCCACTCGTACCACGACATTCCTGTAGGCGTCCCACCATTAAAAATTTAATAGAAGAATAGGAAATTAAGATAAATATGGATTTATTTTTATATTTGTAAATTTTATATAACCTTTACTTATCATATAATTTATATAATATATTTTTCTCTTTCAGATTTAAAAAAGCAGTTCGAAGCCAACCCCGAATCCACCTACAACGTAGAAATCGGCCATCAGGTCGACCTAAAATGTGTCGCTCCCGCTGGCATGCCGCCTCCCAGAGTTTACTGGCTCAGAGGCGGCCAAATATTGCAATCGGACACTGACGTACTAGTGACCAGCGAGGGGCATTTATTAATAGGGCAAGCTAGGCCTCAAGACACTGGCAACTATACCTGCGTAGCAGAGAATATTGCTGCCAAGAGGATGGCCCCTACGTCCCAGATTGTTGTATACGGTAAGTAGTTTATATACAGAATATTTTATACGATACTGTAACAATATTAATAATTTTGTACTATATTAGTAAGTCTGCTTACCATCAGTTCATCAAAAGAAACTAATTTTTCACCATTTAGCAGCTGCGGTGCAAATGTCTTAAAAAAATTGAACTAGCCATCACATGCAAAATTATTTTCCCTCTTATACTTATTATTATAATTAACATAACAAACTATGATGAGAACGAGCAAAACAAAAACTTCAAAAACCTTACATCAACAAGAATTTCACACACAATAACTTTATCTTTGTGAACTCAAACTGTTATTTGGTTTATTTGGTTACGAATTAGTTCTTTTTGCAAACATTCCGTCAAATTTTTAACTGTCAAAAGCGACAGTCGCTCATAAATCCACTCATTTACCATAAAAGATATTTTAAAGCAAGTAATTGGTGTATGCGTCTAATGATAAATGCCGACAAATTTTCGACAGGAAAGAGTGCCATAGGTCGGAGCTCAGTCTTAGTTACAAAGGAAATATCGGTGCCAGAACGGCACTCCGATCTTAATTTGTCTTCGAGTGTCTCTCCGGTTGATTATTTTCAACTTGAAATACCTCCGGTAGTTGCGAGGATGGTTTTCGGCAGTGGCTACGAAACCGCAAACGGATTATTTGTGTTTTTGACTGTTACGGAAAATTTTGACTTTATATAAAGCATATTTGTTGGTATCGTCAATGAGAAAAATATTTTGCCTTGTCTTCTGTAAAGTAGATATTGGTAATATTTACTTTACATAAGACAAGGCAAAAAGAAGATAAGGAAAAAAGTTTGTAGATATTTACACAACTGTTAAAAATCAAATTAAACTGAATTTAGTTGGATAACTTCAAAAGTATAGTGAGTAATGTCCTAGTTTTATTCGTGTTTTTAATTATGTTGTCTCTTCCTTTCTTCTTTACATGTCATCTCCGTGAGGAAGGTTGGCAATCATCACTGCTAGCTTTTGACACTAGAGGCCGAAAGAGTTCAGCTGAGCTGCATCCAAACCATCCAAACTTCTACCTATGCTGCGCTTTCCTTGAATCTTTCGCTGCATTATTAGTTTTAGGAATTATATCTGTCACCACGTGTTATGTGACCCAGATATTGTAGTTTTCTTATTTTGATGGAATCCAGTATCTCACTGCTGTTCTCTATTCTTCTTAGTACTTCTTCATTGGTTATTCTGTCTGTCCAGGAGATTCTCAGCATTCTTCGATATGTCCTCATTTCAAATGCTTCCAATTTATTGAGATCTTGTTTATTTTAAGTCCATGTCTCCACACTATACAAAAGAACATAAAATACATAACACTTTAACTTGTCGTTTTCTAATATTTCGGCTGAGGCCTCTACAACATATATATTTGTTGCATATTATTGAATGCACTTCTAGTCTTTTCTGTTCTAACTCTACTTTCCTTGGTAAATCGTTGTTTATTAATCGTTCTGTCAAACAACTGCAATAATAGTATTGAGTTCTCCATTCAACAATATACAGTAGTTTCAAACATGTTCTACCATCCATCTATTAATAGAGTACCGGCATGTAAGTAATTTTATTTTATTTCATTTATTTATTTGCTCATTCATTAATTTATTCCAATAGAAGAGATTTTATGACAATTGTGGGCCTTACCTTGTCCTTTTAACTTTTTTAAAAAATATTTATACCTTTTATTCAACTCAATCATTTAAATAAAACCACAGACAGGTAATATTGGCATAATTATTGTAATTTATAACATCTAATTTGTTTATCTTTATTAGACAACACCCTAATATGGGTTTTTATCATTTCAGCATTTGTTTAACTTTGTACCGAGACCTGAAGATGCTTTGCATATTGTAGAAAGCGAAACCGGTCGTCGGATAGTTAAATTAAATTGATTGTGAGTAAGTACTGATTTATACTTCTTTCTATTTTTATTTTATTAGTTTTTAAATTATGTATTCTTATGACAGCTTCTTGTTCATAACACAGATTATTTATTATTCTTATATCTCGTGTGTCGATGTTCTTTGTTCTCAGCAGTTTTATTAAGCTGATTATGTTTCACTGTATCGAATGCCTTGTTATAATCTAGGAAGCAGACATGATGTCCTGGTTTTTCTCTAAACATCTCTGTATTAGCATATTTACTGCATATAATGCTTCTCTTCTTCCTTGAGCAATTCGAACATGAGTTTGTCCAATGTTTTGTTCTAACTTTTTATATATTCTACGATGAATAATCTTTAGGAATACTTTTAGTATGTGGCACATTAGACTAATGGTACGGTGATCGCAACATTGTCTGGCATTTTTCTTTTTCGGTATAGTCACGAATGTTGATAGAAGCCATTCTTGTAGGTAATATACCTGTTCTGTATATGATATTATATAATTCTACAATAACATGTATATTGCAGTCGGCGATAAGTTGCAATTTCTGTCGGTATTTCGTCTGGTCCACTGCTATCCAAGTTTCATTACTTTAATTGTGTGTTTTACTTTACTTTCTGTTCTTTCTGGTTCAGTTTCTTCAAAGGAATATTCGTTATCTCTGCCTTTGGGCTTTATTCATCATCATCAGTAGCTCGACAACCCTTTCTGGGTCCTGGCTTGTTCTAGGATTTTCCGCCATTCTGGTTCCTTGCTTTGTTTTTCCAGTTGGTAATCTTAAGTGTTTTTAGATCTTGTTCACTTGTTCCATGTATCTAAGTTTGGGTCTTCCCTTTGACCTTCTCCCTACTGGTGTTTGCCTCATTATATGTTTTGGTGTTTCAGTCTCCAACATCCGTTCAATATGGCCCATCCAGCGCAGACGTCCGATCTTTATGGATGTTATGATCTCGGGTTCGTTGTATGCTGTGTGTAGTTCAAAGTTATATCTTCTGCGCCATATGTCATTTTCCTTTACCCCCTTATATATGTGTCTAATGATTTTTCGTTCAAATGTACCTAATAGGTTCCCATCATTTTTCGACACTGTCCATGTTTTTAATCCTGATTTGGGCTTAATTATTAATTAAATTTTATAGTCTCGGCTGCTCGGGAAAATGCATTACACATCTTGGATTCAGATTAAGGTGCGATAAGTGTGTAAGTATTTTTGAGACTTTTGAAATTTTCCTCAGTGGTTCAATTTTGCATCTGTCTCCTAGTACAATTTTAAAAAGAAGATACACCAAAGCCTCCCATGCCTTAGTTCTTTTGTTAAATGCTTTAAAATAGCAGTTTTGAATTTTTACCTTAAATGTAGCCCCATTAGTTCTATACTAGGCGTTCAATAAGCAAGAAAGCCTGTAAGCATGTGACGATGATGAGATATATGTATAAGTGAGTGTCAATTAATGTTAAATTAGATGTCTTAGAAACTACAGGGTAACATTTTCTGGTGGTTAATGCAGTTGGTGCTGATAATGTAGTCTTCTTCTTCCTATGCCGTCCCCATTAACGGAGGTTGGCGACCACATTTTAAAAGCTTCTCTGTCTTTTGCAACGTGGAATAATTCGTCTACAGTCATGACTTCCTCTTTCTACCTATTCCCTTTTTGCCATCGACTCTACCCTGCATGATGACCTGCAGAAGACTATATTTATTATTTCTTAGTATGTGTCCAAGGTATGCAGTCTTGCGTACTTTTATCGTTCTCAACAATTTTTTGACTCGAGCCATTCTTCTCAGCACTTCCTCATTGGTGACCCTGGCAGTCCATGGGATTCTCAACATTCTCCGGTATATCCAAAGTTCAAAGGCTTCAATCTTTTTAACTATTTGCGCTGATAATGTAGTGGTAGTAGGAATGACTAAGGCGATTTAAGAGCAAAGACTGGTAGAATAGAGATACAATCATGATAGAAAGAGATTAGAAAAGAGGTAAAAACTGTAGAACAGAAACAACGTTTTCTGGAATAATGTATGAACTGGAAGGAGGTGAATGGTGTGTTATATGATAAAAAGATTCCAATATAACTAAACGGAAAATTCTATCGAACTGTTATAAGACTAGCTATGATGCACTGAACTTAACGTTGTGCAATTAAACGAAAAGATGAACTACTAATGCATATGGCGAAAGTAAGAAGAATTATATGAATGAATGGAGTTATAAAAGATATAAAATTAACGTGATATCTTGCTTGTATAACGCTATGAACTACTGACCTCACAAAAGTGAAAGTGATTGCATCATAATATATAAATTTTAAAAAATAATGTGATTAGTAAAATTACACCGAGAAAATTTCAAGATTTGTTTTTTGAAATTTTTTATGAAAAAGGTGTCTATTTAATAGTGGGACTCGTAGTCACTTCCGACGTCTCTAGTGACTCTTGAACTCTCGCGAGCATCGCAGGATCCGTAACCGAATCCGCTTGAGCTTCCGAAACTAATTATTTTTAAAAATAACCCTAAACAAGTGACGGTGTTCGCAAGTCCTCTTCTTTTTTCCACAATCGTCTATATTTCTTTTTCCGATGCAGAGCCGGTGCATTTTACTATATTGCCGCTTTGGGATTCGCATTCATTGGTCTCCTAATTTAAGAGAAGATCAGAACCTTCAGTATATTAAAATCAAACCAATTAATGTGTAATTGATATATTTACAAATTTACTAGAATAATAAAGGTATCCAAAAGATTACAATTTTCATCAGAACGTTTTCAAAGTTCGTACAGGTTTTAATTAACTCGTCATCAATATTGTACATACCCGGGATTTATTTTTTTTAGAGTTTTTATAGAATTTCTAATTTCTTTTCTTTTTCTAATTACTTTTTCCGGTTTTTCCATGGTTTTTATCAGTGACATTCTGTACGTTCAGGAGTTTTTCAAAATATTCAGCCCATCTTTCGATTATTTTTTTTTGGTGAGGGTTTGTCCATTTCCTTTGAATATGGATATCTAGTTTCTCACGAAATTGGATGTCTTTGTAGTAGAAGTTGGGACGCTTGGGAGACCCCCCTCCACTCCCACTCTGACGTCACAA